GGCCCCGGGGCCAAGGCTGTCCAGCCGCTGGCAGCCCGTGGGGCAGGGCCGAGGGATGTGGCCGCAGCCCCCTTTGCAAGGATCAGGACGTGGTGCCGGGAGATAGAGATCCGGGGCCGGAGCCAGGGCTGGGCAGGCGGGGAGGCGAGCTCTCCCCTGGGGCACTGCGGGGCTCGGCGAGCGCCGCCGGAGCCCGGCCGGGGAGACGTGGTCCCTCGGGGAAACCTCTCCCGGGATCGCCCCAGCAGAAGGCCCAGCCGGGAGGAGCGCTGGAGAGGGTGCGGTGCCCTAGCGGGGGGCGCCTGCTCCCGGGCACAAACAGCACACGCGGCGGCTCTTGTTCCAAACCATAATTTTACTGTCTCAAAGAAACTTTCGAACTTATGTACAAAGAGTGGCGGGGCGTCCCCCCGGGTACAAAGCAATAAGTTAACATTCTCAATATAAAACTAAACTTTGACATATAGACACTAAACACAGCTGAGCTCAGTTTATCACATCTTCCGAATTTCACAAGTAAAATGTCAAGATCTCAGTTCACAAAGCATCAGGTTTTACAGCCACACGAAACGGAACGGAAAAAAAGGCTAAATTTGTGCAACATGTTTACAGAACAATAATAATAGTAATAATTAAGAATAAAATATGTACAGCGATCCGATCCTGCACTTGGCTATGTGCACGTCCACTCCAGGGTGAGATCTGCGTGGTAAAGCCTCTTGGGATTTCGTTTAAAGCTGCGTTGTGCCACGTTAGAGACATCTGGCCTCTCTTCTTTCCCTGCCACCCCTTTCCAATTGCTGAGAACAGGGAACGAAAGGTTGTTTCCTTGTCGTGTTCTGTTTCGTTTTTGCTTTACACGAAGGGAAGCGCGCAGGAGCCGCTGCCAGCCCGCTTCCAGACTCGACACTGGGCATCTCTCGTCTTTGTTAAGTCACAGCGGATGTGTGAAAAATGCCAACCACTCGGACCAGACCTCTCCGCGCCGGCAAAGTAGAAAAGTGATTGTAAAAGTTAAAAATCGCATCCTTCTTTTTGTTGGGGTTCGTGTGTGTGTGTGTGTTTGTTTCTGTTTTGAAAGTAAAATGTGCGTTGAAACAGTGCACTCTGCGAACCAGACAGTCCAGGTTGTTCCTAGCACTCTGATAGTGGTAATTTAAGTCAATAAATAAAATCCCCTTTTTCCCCTTTAACAACAACAAAAAAAATTACACAGATGAATAGTGAAAATTACAGGAAAATGTCAAGGGGGAAAAAAAATCTCTGGCGATAGTACGGGTTGTTTTCCCCTTGCTATAAGGAGGCCGGAGGAGTGGGGGACCTACATTTCATCAGACACAGACAGACACACAGGACAGAGGAGAGCTTTTTTTTTTTTTAGCTTTTTTTTTTTTCTTGCCCTACAAACATGTTTGTTGTGATTGTCCCACAAAGCCGAGGTCGGGGATCCGCTCTGCTCCCAGGCTGTTCTCCGGGTGATCTAATGGAGCCCGGCGGCTGCTCTGTCAGCTGTCAGCAGTTGGGAACCAGCCCCGCATCGCATCTGTGCTTGTCTGCCCCGCGCTCGAGTGCAGCGAGTCAATGGCTCTCTGGGAAGAGAGCTCGGGTGTGTTTGTTTCCCTTTTCCCCCCTCTCTCTTTGCCTTTGTCTTTCTTTCCTTTGTTTGTGAATGGGTTTTGTTTTTTGTTCCTGGACCAACAGTGCGTGCGCTGGGGAACCCGGCGGTGCTCACATCAGCTGAGGTTGCTGCATGGCTTCTTGGTGGGCGGACGGGTACCAGGACGTGTAGCTGGGGATGTAGGTGCCCGGGGTGCCCGTGGAGGCCTTACCCGAGGACGAGCTGGTGTTCCACACCGGGGGCACCGGGGGCGAGCTGGCCGACAGAGCCCTGCCGTTGGCCAGGGCGCTGCTCTCCAAGGCCGCCCCTCCCTGCTTCATCAGCTTCTTGAATTTGGAGCGCTTGTTCTGGAACCAGATCTTCACCTGCAAGGGGAGGAAGCGTCACTGGCAGCCAGGGCAGGGCAGGGGTACGGGGAGCTCTCGCCCGCCCGGAGCCCTCGGGGCTTCTCCCGCCTCCCGCCCAGCCCCGCAGTCAAACCCCGCGGCCGGACGGCGCGGCCCA